ATATATGTATATATACTGTATATAGTAACACTTTCCTTCCACCAGTCTCTCACATATTTGCCATTCACTCCAAACTTTCTTTCTGCTGTTGGTTTACCGTTTTAGGCTGCATATTTTTAACCGGTAGGCTACAGGCAAAATTAATCAGAACCAGCACAGGCTGCAGGGCAAAAACTATGAAAATGTTGATTTTTGCCATTACTGACATTTGCATAAATATGAGATAWTAAAGACACCATCTAGTGATCCCAGTAGCTAAAATAGCATATAATCTTCCTAATCTATTTTTAAATCAGAGTTTTCCAGCAGGCACGTTGTGAGAAATAATTATTTTAATTATAATCCTTTTAATTTCCTTTGAAATTCACAATTAACTTTGTTGGCTGCTGTAGCACCGGGAAAACCCTTAATGCAATGTTATTTTTCGATACATTAGTGCCCATTCCTTGTTTACTTTACATTTCGTAATAGCTGTTATTCTTAARATTATTACTACAATAGTGTTGCACCTATTTTTAGGAGAAATTGAACACCRTGATCAACACTGATAACTGTATTAGGAGTTAAACACAAACTGAGCAATTTCCATGGTTTTACATTTGAATCAACCCATTTAAGAAAAAGCAAAGCTGCACAATATTACGGCCTATGTCTGCCTTCGTATTTTGTAGCAGCAGATCACTTTCCTTTCTGATTGCCTCTCTGGTGCAATGCGCACATTTGTAATAACCCTTACAACCTAAGGAATGCAATTTTAAGACTGGAATAGAATGTGATTAGGGTAAAATGAGAGAAGCTTTCAGTGACAGAGAGCATCTCAGAGATGGCACTGGCATGTAACAAAACATCTTAGGATGGGGAAAAACAGCCTGTTATAATTGTGCAAAGCCAGTGTGAAATATGTTGCTGTGAATTACAGCAACCTTAAACCACATGAGTATATGTGTGTAAGCTCTTAGACACACAAACACATACACACTTAAAGCATAGCACTCGGCTCCTGAAGACGAGCTAAATCAAATCGAGGAGCAAAGACTTCTCAGCTTGTTTATATGCAGATTTGCCCGTGCAGGGGAAATGAAAAATAGCAAATGCATTGAAAAACAGTTGTGCTATTTTTACATTCAGACCAAAATAATGTGACATACACAAAAGCTGTTTGCTCCTAACAGTGACRAACTCTTTTTGTGTTGCTTGCTCTCTCCACATTCATCGCTACACAGATTTGTAGGTAGTATAAAAATACACACAAAGAAAATGTCTCAAGCATTCCAGTGCACACAATATTGTTGTGTATCATATACTGTGTAGTTGTACTGTATGGATAAAACAGGTTAATCCTCTGAGAAGTTTAGAAATAATAAATAAAAGCCATGCAGCAGTGCTACTTCCACCCTGCCGCCATTGTTTGTGTGATATTTCAACATCTTTCTCTCCTGGATTTTCTGATAGTTTTACAAGTAACCATGTCAAGGAGGATTTTAAAAGAATAAAAAAAATCATATTTAGTTAAGGTCCCGTTCACACAGGATGATGACCTGGCTACAAATTAAAGATTTGGCAAGAGTCTTGGCAAGGTGGACTCCCCTTGCACGTGCTTTGCCTACTATAGTTTTCATCACGCAGAAATGTCATTGTAGTGACATTGTGATGATTTATCATAGTATTGACGATGGAATGTCTAGCAGCAGTGCCTTAGTTGTTGAGAACCTAATTCAGGAGTTATTCTGTGTTATTGGTGCATGATCAAACCCAAAACGTGGTTYTGATGAGGTATTTCCAGTGTCTGACAGAAATCTCACTCTTGTTACAATCAAAAGTTTCTCGCTACACCACCCCTCACCACTTGGATGCAATGAGCATTTCACAGTTTCTCGCACCAATAAATACTATGCCATGCRCGGCCAGCTTTCATTCACCTTTCATATTCTTGCTTTCATAATGGTCATGCTTGTTGGATGAGAAGGAAAAGAGGATGGATGTGGCTGAGATTCTGCACCCTAAACCCTCTCCACCTGTATGACCCAAATGGCTCTATGTCTCCTTTTGCCTGTTTTTTTTTTTTTTTTCACATGCATGAGCTCAGAGGATGGCATCTTGAACTTTTAAGTAGGACCAAATGTATAAGAGCATTATTTTTATATTAAAGTGATGACCTTACCAGGTACACAAAACTATATTGCTGTTTTCTCTGCACCAAATAAAGACTAATGTGAAGGCTTCATAACCTCRTACAGTTACAGGAAAATTCTACAGAGTGTGAGAAGATAATGAAAACAACGTAGTACAAACATAATATTTCTAATGGTACTATCAGCTAGGGTGGCTTGATCTATTATAACTTAGCTATATGCTGATGCAATTCAAATTATACCAAGGGTGCRTAGAACGTAGTACCATCATGGGCACCAGAAGCAAGACTGTAATTGAAATGCATTGTTGACATTCTAGTGAGGGTGCAGGAAAGCAAATCAGCGGCATGGAAAAGAGCAAGAAAAACATATATACTAATATTATAGCAGTAGCATTATTGCCTTCACACTCTGAAGGAGMATCTCCAAATTTGCCATGATCCAGCTACGTTCCAATAGGTTGTTGAGAACTTAGCAGGGTTGTCATTCAGCGTGAAAAAGGCCTTACTAAAATTGCCTGTTACCACATGTGATGATAAATCCCATTGAAAGAGGAAGCATCGCTTGTATTCTTGCTATAAACCAGAATTGCCTCTTTTAAATTCAGTTGACATGGTGGCTCAGTCAGTGTGTGATATGTGTAAGATTGAGATTACGGGATGCCATATGAGAGTTTGCTCTGTCTGTACTCGGAAACATGGCAACAAATCACCTTTGTTTAAATGGAGCAGCTGCCTGTTGTGGAATCCAAACCTAGAAAACCAGAGAACTCTATGTTATGGGAAGACAGATGTTGTAAGATTAGCCTCTCCATGTGTTTGTCAATCACATGACTTTACAACAGCGGATTACTTGAGAGTAATATGCCCCATCTATAATGTTTTTTTCAGATTATAATGCATTATACAGTAGATATATGTATAAACACATTAAGCCCTTTGCTTTTCTTTCCTTTCAGCTGGAAGCAGTATTTGAAGAGCAGGATCCACACAATGGCGGTGACGGTACCAGTGCCAGCTCCACTGGAACTCAGAGTCCGGATCCCTTTGCCAATGGAATGAGTTCAGCTTCGGCTTTTCAACCTTACCAAGCAAACAGTGAGATTGAGGTTACTTCATCTGCTCTGCGATCTAGTAAGTCCAATGATAAAAATATATTCGAATCTTTCACCTCTTTTAGCATAATTTTAAGACAATGCCAGCACCACGGTTGGAAAAATAAAACTACACAATGCTGGGTGTTCCAGGGGCTTTGAGCTACTAGAAGGCTTATACTAACATTCCAGCAGAGTGCTCATTCTGCATCTCACAAGTCCTATTAATAAAATTCAAAGAGGAATTTGAAAGTTATAAACAATGTTTCCAGTAAGTATATGGCACATAAAGTGCAGCTAATAGAAGTGTATTGAAAGAAATATCCAAACAAAGACCTGGTCATGGCTTGATAGGTCTATATATTTTCAAAGTGATTAAAAAAGTATCGGGATATCAAATATACAT